ACTAGCGTAATTTGGGAGAAAACAAGAAGATATTTATTTTAATGCATATTATTATTAATTTAAAATAGTGCTCTGAGCTCTTACTCGGTATTGAGGCCCTATTGTAGTAGGAGACACAGTCTCTGCCCCAGACAGCTTATAATACCAGATCTATTAGAACAGGACAATTTTTGCACCAGTTGACACTCTTTGCAAGCTCGTTCTGTGGGATTACACTTCAGTGTAAAACTGCATGGTATTTGGACTATTTAAATTGAGTAGTTATTATTGCCTTAATTAGGCATGCCAAAGGTTAGTTAAGTATAAGAGAATAGACACAAATGTGTTATCTCTGCTATTAAGCTGCCCTTCCTGCCTTTCAGCCCGTCTCTTCATTGAAGCACAGGCCAGAATTCACTAGTGTTTCAGGGTTTTTCAAAGAAAGAATTATACAGAATTAAACCCTGTTGTTGTGCATCTTTAATTTGATTAGGTTACAAAAATAGTGCAGATCTTATATTCTTTCTTACCCATATGCTGATCCATGGCTACTGGACAACCGATTAGCATGATGTAGAATGTGTGAACTGAAGTGTAAGCTATGTCTGCTCAGTATGGCACTCTGTCCCCTCAGTGGTGGGTGGACCATATAGCGATGGTGAGTCCCACCTAGCTATGACCCTGGATAAGAGGGGTTGGTCTATTAGCTCAGGCAGTAGGGGCTCCTGTATTAAGATTGAGAGGTCCCAGCTTTGATCGGTGCCAACAATCCACCCAGGGACGTTGGCATTACAAAAGTAAAGATACCATTAGTCAAACTGAGGTGGGAAATGGCAACTGGCTTCATCCAAAACACTGCATGTTTTTCAGCTAGGTCAGTAGGAATAATTGAGAGGTAGAAGGCCAAGAAAACCAGAGGGTATAATAAGTTAAGTACACATTCAACTAGCAGAAGTAATGGTTTTAAAGCTGCAAAAAGAAATAAGGGCAATGAATAAAACAAACATGTATGGAAATAATAAGCCAACCTGTGGCTGACAGAAATGCTGAGGAAGGGAAAGCAGTGTTAAAAGATGAGAGAGAATGACCAACAGATTTTGAGAGATGCCAACGGTGTAGTAGGGTTTGTTTTTATTGTAAAAGAAAATGACTGCTGCTGTACACACAGAATTATTGTTGTACTCCGAACAGGCTGGCATTTTTACTGGTAACTTTGGATTCTGGAGAATCTGCATTGCTTTCAGTTTTTCCATCCACGCTATTGCCACCACTTTTCTTTCCTCCATTCCCCCTTTTTCCGTAGTGGCACCATGCTGTTTGTCCTCCTGAAGGACGTGCAAAGGTCACAGAACATGCCAAAGCTGCTACGTGGATCAGAAGAATGATACGTGTGTACGCTCACCCCTCTTCATGGAAATTTATGAGCTCAGGCCATGCCAACATAAGGCTTGGAACATACAGAGGCCATTCCAAAAATTCCTCTGCCCATGTTTCATGGGACCATTTTGGTTCAATAAAATGCACATGAAGTATTTGGTAAATCAAAATGCAACTCATCTTTGCTATCTAGTTCAGATTTCATGCAGATAGGATGATGTACAGGGCATTTTGCTGAATGAATAATGTACACATTTTACTATATGTGTCTAACAAATTGTGCTGTGTAAGTGGTTATGTAATAAAGGAATGTATGATTTGTTACGCCAGATCAGATCATTGATGGATTTAGCTGTATACCCTGCCTTTGTTTGTTGCTAATATCGTATAAGTGTTTGTACAGCCCTCCCATAATTGTAATATCTGAAAGCCTAATACTTGATGTTTCAGTGCCTGGGCCCAGCAGTCCTGTCTAGCCCATAACAACATACATGGGGTAGAAGGTGAGGCTCCTTTCTGATCTTCTGGTGAATAGCTTATTCCTAGGGCCCTACCAAATTCATGGCCATGAAAAATGCGTCACGGACTGTGAAATCTGGTCTCACGGGGGAGACCAGCATTTCTCAAATTGGGGGTCGTGATCACAGATGCCGACTTTTCAATGTGCTGGGGAGTGCTGTCCCCTGGCTCTGCCCCTACTCCACCCCTTCCTCCAAAGCCCTACCCCTGCCCTGCCTCTTCCTGCCCCATTCTGTCCCCTCCCCAGCACGCTGCATCCTCGCTCCGCCCTCTCTCTCCCAAAGCCTCCTGCACACTGTGAAACAGCTGATCACGGTGGGCAGGAGGTGCAGGGGGGGGGGAGGGGGAGGTGCTGATCAGCGGGGCCACCAGTGGGTGTCAAACACTGCACGGTGTGGGGGAGCTGATGGTGGGGCTGCCAGTGAGTGCTCAGCACCCATAATTTTTTCCCCATGGGTTCTCCAGCTCCAGAGCACCCACGCAGTTGGCGCCTATGGTCGTGACCCAAAAGAGAGTTTCGGGATGGTCACAAGATTATTTTAGGGGGCTCGTGGTATTGCTACCCTTACTTCTGCACTGCCTTCAGAGCTGGACAGCTGGAGAGCGGTACCTGTTGGTCAGGTACCCAGCTCTGAAGGCAGCGCCCTGCCTGCAGCAGCACAGAAGTAAGGGTGGGCATACCATACCATGCCACTAGGGTTGGCAGGCATCTGGTTTTTGACTGGAATGCCTGGTCAAAAAGGGATCCTCATGGCTCTGGTTGGCACTGCCAACTGGGCCATTAAAAGTCCGGTTGGAGGCACTGCGGGGTCTCGGGGCTAAGGCAAGCTCCCTGCCGACTGCCCTAGCTCCGCTTTGGACCCGGAAGCAGCTGCCAGGTCCTTGTGGCCTCTAGGCGCATGGGCAGCCAGGGAGGCTCTGAGTTCTGTCCCTGCCCCGAGGGCCAGCTCTGCAGCTCCCATTGGCTGGGAACCATGACCAATGGGAGCTGCAGGGGCAGAGCCTGCGGGCATGAGGGCAATGCGCAGAGCCTCCCCGGCTGCCCAAGTGCCTAGGGGCTGCAGTAGAGTGACCAGGCAGCAAGTGTGAACAATCGGGATGGGGTGGGGGTAATAAGCACCTATATAAGATAAAGTCCCAAATATTGGGGCTGTCCCTGTAAAATCAGGACACCTGGTCACCCTAGGCTGCAGGGACCTGGTGGCTGCTTCCTGGGAGCCGTGGTAAGTGCCGTTGGGACCCCACAGAGCTCAACCCCCTCACCCGCTCCTGAGCCTCCTCCTGCACCCCAACCCCCTGCCCCAGCCTGGAGTCCCCTCCTGCACCAAACTCCCTCCTGCATCTCGAACCCCTCATCCCGGCCCCACTCAAGAGCCCACACCCCCAGCTGGAGCCCACATCTCCCTCCTGCACTCCAAACCCCTTGGCCCAAGCCTGGAGCTGCCTCCTGTACCCCAAACCCCTCATCCCTGGCTCCACCCCAGAGCCCGCCCCCCTCCGCCAGAGCCCTCACCCCCATCCCGCACCCCAACCCCCTGTCTGAGCCTGGTGAAAGTGAGTGAAGGTGGGGGAGAGTGAGCGACAGAGGGAACAGCGATGGAGTGAGCGGGGGAAGGGCCTCAGAGAAGGGTGGGGCAGGAGTGTTCAGTTTTATGCCATTAGAAAGTTAGCAACCCTACATGCCACCCTTACTTCTGCGTTGCTTCCTTCAGAGCTGGGAAGCCAGAGAGCGGTGGCTGCTTAATGGGGGACCAGCTCTACAGGCAGCAGCGCAGAATTAAGGGAGGCAAGACCATTCCAGGCCACCCTCACTTCTGCGCTGCTGCTGGTGGCGACGCTGCCTTCAGAGCTGGGCTCCCAGCCAGCAGCTGCCATGCGAGACCTGCCCAGCTCCGAAGGCAGCGCCACCCCCAGCAGCAGCGCAGAAGTGAGGGTGGCAGCACCGCAAGCCCCCTACAATAGCCTCGAAACCCTACGTCAGAGTTGGCACCTACGAGCAGCAGTGCATCAGTTTACATTGGGACAACTATATACCTTCATAATGTAGAAAAAGACAGGTATCTTATTACATGGAAGCACAGGATTTTACACAATATTGTAGAAAGCAACAAAATTGCAAACTGATCTTGGTATTGCAGGATTTATGTTCCGTTTGTTTTTTTTCACGCAGGGAATTTTATCCTCTATGTTTGTTTGGCTTTGGGGCTAGAGGATTTTGCTGAATGTTTTTCAGTGACACGGAATATCCCTCAGGCAGATTGTCCAATCAGCTGCCCTTATGGCCGTCTAATCAGGGTAGGCAGGTAGACTATGCAGTGATTTCATAAAGGAGGCAGAGCTTCATGTGGACCATGCCTGCTCGGAGCAAGCCTAGCCACTGTGCCATTAAATGTCTCCATTGGTGCAATGCCAGCGTAGACAGCAAGTGGTGACACGACAGAGCTGCCATGCTGCAATTAGTCCTAGCAACACCTTCCCCGGGCACTGCTTGGCTTTGTCTTTCCATTCAAGTCTCTGTCGTCGAGTAACATAAAGTCAAGTTTTCTGGAAGCATGCCTCTTAGACCTCATTGCATTCCCATTCTCACCAGTATCTACTCTCTTGCAATTTCTGCCTAACCTAACTGCTTCAGAAGAAGCATGTTGCAGGTTGGCCCAAGGCAGATGTCAGGGCAATTATGAACATCTGGGCAGACAAGGAGATGCAGTTGCAGCTGAACTCTGTAATTTGGAGAATTCTGCTTAATTACTAGGAGAGGGCTAATATGATCTGGCCCAGTTCTGGGAAACAGTCCTAATTATGTATATCATCCTGCACAATGGTGAGCAGGAATCACAATGGTTAAGAATGTAATAACATTTACACTCTTGGGAGCCAAGTAATTTCCCATCTTTTGTTGAATTTTAATAATGTGGATTCTGACGTGTCTGGCTCTCTCTCTCTCTTCCTTACAATCTTTTAAACAATTATTTTGGCTTTCAGTCTGGAAAATGTCTGTTATTGTTTTACTGTATCAAAAAAACCAAATTGACATGAACTGCTCTATGCTTCTCATCTGGAACTATTGTTTGCATTTTCATTGCTGTATCTGCTAATAAATGTGCATTACTTATTTCTTTTTTTAGGGTCTGACCACATCCGAGAGAAGGATGGACTCTGGGCTGTGCTAGTCTGGCTTTCAATCATAGCAGCTCGAAAGCAGAGTGTGGAAGAGATTGTCAGAGATCACTGGACAAAATTTGGCCGCCACTATTATTGCAGGTGCAGATAATTGTTACAAAACACAGTAGGCTAGTATGTTCCTAGGACAATTCTGGGGCAAGTTTGGCTTGATTAGCATTGTTGCTATTAATAGTGAAATGCATTTAGCAGCACTTCAGGTGTATGCACAGAATGAAAATCTGCCGTAGATTGAACAGCATTCTTAGGGATGTTAGTGGTCTAAGTCTCAGCTTTAACTTGAACCAGACTGGCTTGAAGCATAAGTTAAAAAACCAGCGCAGTTTACTCAGCTCTTCGTCTTTCAAAGATAGATAAATTGAGTGCCAGGCACTCTATTGTATGTGGGCCTTTTTGACAGGACCAACATCCTGCCTGCTCTCTATGAGGGGTGAAATTCATGGTCCTGCCCAGGGTCTACGCACTTTTAAACTCCTACATATGATCTCAAAATAGGGCTTAAGTGTGACTCATGGGGTGCGTAGGCGTTGGGCTGGCCCTCTCTTCAGGGTGAATGTTTACCCAACAGAGATTAAGGAATCCATAAAACGTTTTGTTCCTTAGCAAAGTTCTTTCTCTACCCCTGACTATTGACCATGCAGTGTGCCAGTTGGTTGCTGCCTTGCAGCCCAGAGTTGGCTACATATTAATGGTGTGTTTCAGAGTAACAGCCATGTTAGTCTGTATTCGCAAAAAGAAAAGGAGTACTTGTGGCACCTTAGAGACTAACCAATTTATTTGAGCATAAGCTTTCATGAGCTACAGCTCACTTCGTCGGATGCATACTGTGGAAAATACAGAGGATGTTTTTATACACACAAACCATGAAAAAATGGGTGTTTATCACTACAAAAGGTTTTCTTTCCCCCCACCCCACTCTCCTGCTTATCTGCTATTACCAGCAGGAGAGTGGGGTGGGGGGAGAGAAAACCTTTTGTAGTGATAAACACCCATTTTTTCATGGTTTGTGTGTATAAAAACATCTTCTGTATTTTCCACAGTATGCATCCGACGAAGTGAGCTGTAGCTCACGAAAGCTTATGCTCAAATAAATTGGTTAGTCTCTAAGGTGCCACAAGTACTCCTTTTCTTTTTATTAATGGTGTGGTATTTATGTGGCGTGTAACGGATCTCTTTGTGTAAACTGTGTTGTTTGAAAGCAAGTTGTTGTTGTTGCTAATAACATCTCAAAATGTAAAAGTATATCAGTATTTTCTAAGTGGGTTCTGCTAATGCACTGAGGCAGGTGGTTGGTTATTCCAGCTGAAAATAAAAGAGGCGGGAGTGGCTTTCTGAAGGGAAAATATTCAGTTTGTGGTTTGAACAGCCCTGAGATAGAAATGCTAAGGGCAGCCAAGACTGGGGAGAAGGCTAGAGCTGATAACCTTGTTCTCTTATTGTTAATTTCTTTGCTGCTAACGCCAGACTCCCAGCAGGAGACGACTTTTTGACTCTACACAGTCTGCAGACTTTGTCTTAGTGGCCCAACAAGAGAGCATAGATGTGTCAAGGGGGACAGGGGTTGAGGGTGGACCTGTCTTTTAAGCATATAAGTGCATTAACCACTTAGGGCACACAGTTTTCTCTTAAACTTAATTGACAGATTTGCACATTTCATGGAATGGAGGACTTAGTGTGTAAGTAAATGGAAGAGCTGTTTTCATTTGCACTAGGCACTTCAGTTGCATGCCTGGTTTTCCATGTCTGCAGTAAATTACTAATTGTGAGCATCTCATGCTCTATGCAAAAAGAATCTTTCTGCTGGGTGGAGTTTACTTATTTCTTCATACTACTTTTCGTTTTATTCCTACATGCAAGATTTGATTATGAAGCATTGGAACCCAGAACAGCATATTTCATAATGAGAGACCTGGAGGCTTTGATCATTGACAAATCTTTCAGTAATCAGCAGTTTGCTGTTGGGAATAATGTCTACCGTGTGGAAAAAACAGACAGCTTTGAATATGTGGATCCTGTAGATGGCACTGTGACCAAAAGACAGGTATGAAAGCAACCAAAATAATCTTTTCAAAGATAATGGGGAGGTGTGTATGGGGGAGAGGGGAGCCATAATGTTTTACAATGATACACACTACTTTTATAGTTATTAACTCAAGGAGAGAAAAAACCCAGTTTTTACTTGTAGAAGCATGATTTTCTGTGGTTCGTGTAACATACTTGTTGGTACATAGCAGTACTTTCCCCCATTTAAGAACACCTGATAGTGGAGAAAACAGTTAACTTGCACTCAGTGCACATCAGTCGCATAGGATGTAAGCAAGGGAGAATTTTACCAACACAGTGGAGCTCAGGTAATAGCAAGTTGCCTAAGAACCCTAAGAACAAAGCATGGTTTCAAGAAGAAATGAAAATCCTTCCTTTTGCTGTTTTCACTCCTTCCAATTCAAACTGAAAACATCTGCTGCCTTAAACTACAGTCCAAACTCAATCTTTTGCTCTACAAAATTCATGACATGGTCAATACTAGTAATATTTTTTTTTCCTGGTGGAAATGTGTATAAAGAGACACTGTGTGAATATAAAGGTTTCAGAGTAGCAGCCGTGTTAGTCTGTATCCGCAAAAAGGAAAGGAGTACTTGTGGCACTTTAGAGACTAACAAATTTTGAAAGCTTACGCTCAAATAAATTTGTTAGTCTCTAAGGTGCTACAAGTACTCCTTTTCTTTTTACTGTGAATATAAAGTGTGACTTGTATTTAAATATATTCTTTTTTTCATGATTTTCTCTTTCCTAGATTAGAATAAATCCATGTTGAGATTAATTTTTGGCAAGAGCTCTTATTCTGGGTTTTCCTCTTCCTTGTCATTTTCTCTTTGTTCTTCAAATGTTAACCATATTTTATTCCTAAAAATATACCATCTCTTAATATATATAATCAGATCATCCCAGATCATAGCATATATTTGTATGTGTCATACAAAATGCTCGTAATCTTCTACTGCATATATCCTTCAGCACCTCTTCTTGACTTGACTAGCTTGTGAAACAATCTAGCCACTGGTACTGACCCTACAACCAACATTCTTCCCTGCTGTTTGGTTTCTCGGTTCTGGACCTTTCTCACAGTCACATGTGATTGGCGCTAAACTCTGCATTTACTGCTATATCTTTCAGGGGATTTTTTTTTCCAAAGTGTTCAGAGTTGGTTTCATGGATTTTAACAACTAAAATGAAGGAACATCTTCATCAGATCTTGTAAATAAGTAATGTAAAAAATACATTAACTTTTGCAACTCGTGCCAGCCTTGTACTTTCAATCTCCTGATACAGCATGTTTAGGGTTTTTTCACAGGGTGTGATCAGACCCCACAACCCTTCTGTGAAAAATAATCCATCTCCAAGGACTTTGCATAGAATCTTACAGAAAATGTCCTCAATGGGGTATTGCAAATATAGTCCAGGTACATGCTAAACCAAACTCCAGATTGTCCTAATTTTTGTGGTTTGTGAATGATCTTGACCTGACCAGGCCCTTGCAAATCCTACTGTACAGTCTTGGAATAAGACCTCATTACCAGTTGTGCTCTGGTATTGAATCGTTACTGAGAAATACAGAGGCACCATTTGACAAAAGCCAAATTATCCATGTTGACGACAGGGTCCAATGTATCGTAACCTGTCGATGAAAACTCCTGATCCTTTTAATTAGAGATCTGTGAACTGGCACTGGATATTTTCCTACTCCTGTCTTTGTTTCTGAATGGAAGAGGTTATCCATGTAGTTTTGAGTTTTTTGTTTTTGAATGTGTAGTGAGGAAGCAGACATTGGAAAAGTTGGAAAAAGTTCTTTCATTCACATGCCCACAGATAGGGCCAAAATTCTTCTTTCCTCAGAATGAGATTTCAGTGCTGCCTCGGAGATAAGGCTTTTCCTGTCAAAATATTCAGTGCAGTCTGCTGTGCATTTGGGACATTTAAGTGTCAGTTGAGGAGCAAATAAAACCACATTAGGGCATAATACTTGGAAGTAAAACCACAGCCATTTTATATGGGTTTGACGTGTGTGTGTGTGGCTGTATATGTACGTTATTGTTACTGGGCCACATGCTTTGCTAGTGTATCTCCATACATATTGTACCTCTAAATAGTGCTTCAAAATGTTAAACTGAAACATACCCATAGGTTTGCATGCCTGAATCTTGCTTGTGTTCTACTTTAGTTGTAAGAATGACAAGAAAAACAGCAAATGATAGTTAGCACATATGTAGCAGTTTAATTCTACATGAGAATTAAACAATGCTTTACAAACACGAATAAATTAATGGTTAATTTGATTGGAATGTAATACAAGAGTGACCATCTCTGTGAAGTCAATTGTAATTCCATTTACACAGCAAGGCCTACCTCTGTCACATCAGCTCCAAAATCAGTGGATCAAATTCTCTGCTGGTGTATGCATTGCATTGGATGGGATACCTTCAAGGAACTCAGAGGCACTGCAGGAAGTCATGCTGACGATTCAGTATGCCAGCAAACAGTTGGCCCCACTGGCTTTTGGAGCTGATGTGACAGAGGCAGGGTTGTTTTCTGATATATTTTTTAAATCAGCTCTTCTAGCACAGCATAGCACCAAGCTATCCTTGTACCTTCATTACTTCTGCGAGCATTACAGGCTGACTGGTCCTTAGTCGTGCACTGCTTAGAAAGTCCATCCCAGTGCTTTTAAACATCTCCTTCATTAGGAAGGATTCCCATCTGCTAGATCATTGAAACCAACATGCTATACTGTCTACAAAGTTGATTTTTTTCATATTTTATTAGCTTTTTAGCCATGAAAAATTTGGTCTTGTGGCAGAGTTTCCATGCAGCTCATATACATTCACTAGCATATTTAGGATGCCTAAAATAAATGTCCGCAGATGTTCAGTGTGAAAACTATATCCAGTCTTCTAGCAACTTCCTCCCGGAAGTTATCAACCCATCTGATTTCTCACAAGATGATACTGTTTTCATTGATGACAATAATAACTTTCAGTTATAAGAGAGGATTTACTTCCTCTTATGGGTCTCCCAGTTTATCCTTTTTTTCTTTTAGACTATAAATTCTACATTCAAAGGGAATGTTTTCATTTTGTTTTGTACAGGATCAGAGAAATAATATATAATTAATAATTAATAGACAGTTGGATTTACAACAATATATCTGCCAGTGCGCCCATGTTAGGTAGGAGAATAACATCATGCCACACAGTACTTATATTGTACATTATTCCATCAGTTTCCTCTCCCCCTACTAATATTTTCTCCTAATTAAAGTTCAGATCCATCAAAAAACAAAACTCCAGTCTCCTTTAGACTTTGTATCTTATAAGAAAAAGGAAACTCAGTGTTCATTTTTACAGAGAGCGGCACTGCAGTCTTCAACATTTTAAAATTCATGCTTGTTCACGTTTCACTTAGTAACAATTATTTGTTATTAAATATTTTAATTCATGGCGTGCCAGATGCAATGGGGCAAGATTCTAGAAAATAAAGGGGATGTATCAAAACTGAATGGGTCTTTTATTCTTTTCTGTGAGCTTACTGAGTGAAAGCCTTGCTGGTTCTAGAACCACCCTGAACTTTTCAGGGACAAGGTTGGAATCAAGATTTCACAGTTGGACACACTATAAATAATGAGCCCAAAGCCTAGATGCAAACCACATAAACTCTGAAGTGTTTAGATATTGTATGGGAATTATACAGTTTGGGGGGTCATCTCTAGTTTGATGTTGAAAGTCAGTATCTAAAGGTTGTTGTTACCTTATTAAGTTATTTCTTCCTGGCATGTAACCCTGTTGTTTTAAGGAGTAGACCCTGGTGTGTCTTTGTAGTGCCCCTGTTCGGAGTATTCTCAGCTGTGCTGCAGGAATTCTAAGCCTTCTAGACATGTATCAGCTGTTATTCCCCCATTTGTGAGAGTCTGTGTGGTCGAGCATCTGTCACTAGATAATACAAAATGAGGAAGAAAATAGCTGCAAAATAGCATAGGAAGTAAATACAGGGAGATGCGTGTCTGTGAGTGAGAGAGAGAGAGAGAGAATTCCAAGTACTAGAAATGCTGGTCGTATTACATTACCAGGCGGCTCTGTAGTTGGGGGAGCAGTTTGTATCAGATTGTGAGTGTGTGTTTTGGAAAGCATACATACGCTTTCTTCCAAAGACCATCTTCCAAAGACCATTAATGAGTAAATGAGCTTTCAGAGCCTCCTGTATCAAATGAAACAGTCATTCCTCAGTGCTGTTGCTGCTACACAAGATACAGTGTGCGGGGAGCGTATTTAAGCAGTCTTACGAGCCTTGTCATGCTGGCGGTCAGTAGAGTTGGTTGAATACTGCAAAATGGTACTTGCAAACATTCCTTGGAATTAAACCTATACATGACCTTGGATGCTGCTCATGGCCCCGTTTATTCACTTTCTGCCAATATTTGTGACAATACTTTTGGGTTTTTGGAGCCTGGAAAGTTTAAATGACAATAATGTTATATACCTTGAGCTACCTGTTCCATATCTGACATTCTTCCAAAATACAGGCCCAGTTGTGCAAGGATCCCTTTAATCCAGGGATCTCAAACTCAAATCACCACAAGGGCCACATGAGGACAAGTACATTGGCCGAGGGCTGCATCACTGATACCTTTTCATACAAAGATCATAGAATCATAGACTATCAGGGTTGGAAGGGACCTCAGGAGGTCATCTAGTCCAACCCCCTGCTGAAAGCAGGACCAATCCCCAATTTTTGCCCCAGATCCCAAATGGCCCCCTCAAGGATTGAACTCACAACCCTGGGTTTAGCAGGCCAATGCTCAAACCACTGAGCTATCCCTCCCCACAAGATACAAAAACCCCGCCTCTGGCCCTGCCCCCACCCCCACTCTACCCCTTCCATGAGGCTCAGCCCCTGCCCCACCTCTTCCCACCCCTTCCCCAAATCCCCAGCCCTGCTTCTTCTCCACCTCCTCCCCTGAGCGTGCCATGTCCCCGCTCCTCCCCCCTC